AAAAAAAAAGGGGGGGGGGGGGGGGGGGGGGGGGGGGGGGGGGGGGGGGGGGGGGGGGGGGGGGGGGGGGGGGGGGTGTGTGTAAAGAGTTAGGAAAAACATGCCAAGAATCTCAATGCTTGTAATAATGTTTGATTGTCTGAAAAGTCAGTGTGTAACACGAAATTTTGGTCAAAAGAAAACATGCACAAACTTCATATTATTACAAACAGTAGTAGCTAACAATATTCGGCACTTAGGAATATTAGTCATCAGAGATTAATGCAATCCAAAAAGCAAATAGATCGAGAACGCAAACTAAAAGGCATGGCATAAAATCCATTATTTGCCAACTTTTTGGCATGACATTTCTTACTTTCTGCACTGGATAAAACTATCAAAATGTTTGCCCTATTGCAGATCTTTCCAATCTCTGGTAAATTTCAATCCAAGAAAGAAGAATGAAGCTTCATAAAGCAACAACTCTTTTGCGCAAAGTTTAATCCAAAAGTACAGGAGGTAGGGTGCAGTTTTTTAACACAAAAAAATATTCAACTAAAATTTTTCAATCTCATGTTATTAGAAGTAACATGAAATCAGTTAGAAGTAGAAAAAGAAGGAATAGTTGACTCACAGGTGCAGAACCTTCCAGTGAAGCCTTTGCCCTTGAAAATGACAAGTTTCCAGCCAAGAATGAACCGCCTCTTTGGAAAACTTTCATGGGATTATGTGCTTCAGATGGCCATCTGTCCACAGAAGAATCTGTTGTAGCAACCCAAATACTGTTGTCATGCAATGCCAATCGCGAAATGGGATGTTCCTTTGTACAAAGTAAAACACTTTCTCTTGTTTCCAAGTCTGTCATATATAACTGGAAGTACAGTAAGAAAGTCAGCTTCAAGAAGATGGGCAAAGCAGAAAAAATGGAGGTGGGATGCAAATCTTCATATTGGTAGATTTGTCAAGATGTACTCACAGAACTGTCTCTTCCACCACTATAAACATGACTAAATGCTGGCGTGCTAGCAAGTGCCCATACAGAATCTGTGTGCACAGCATAGGAATGCACACAACGCTGCTGACCAAGATCCCAAAGCCTGCAAATATTTAAGCAAAAAAAGCAGCTAAACATACTAAGAATGACTGATACAACGATATTCATACAACTGCAGAGTACAAATTTTTGCAGCTCTGTAATTCCTTCATCGAAACTCTATCCGATCCAGTGAGTGCAAAAAAATAAAAAGATGAAAACATAGTTACGGGCAACCTTTCCACAACATACAAAAAACCCTCAAAGCCAAGTTCCGCTAATCAAACACAAACGAAAATCTTCAACAAACATGACCTTTAGAGGACTCGTCCCTATTAAACAAAAGACCGTTCCAAAAGCTTCTGTTGTCAAAGTTCAACATGTAGCATAATTATAAAAAGTTTTGAGGAAAAAAACGCTGTGTGGGGGCAGAATGTGGGCATATCTGATACTTTCTCATTATAGATGCTCTAGTGATAATTGTTGATTTGTAAGCAAAATGAATACCTGATCATAGAATCAGAGGACCCAGATAAGCAAAATCTGCAAATTAAAAGATGAAAACAGTTAATATCATAAATTATTCCCTCCATTCAGAATTACTGAACTTGTTTAAATAGGACCCAAAATTTTGGGGATAGATCTTGTCATTTTCAGTCAAATCTATAACAAAAAGTGGACATCCTTTTCCCATATCCCAAAAAGGTAATGAATCAATTCAATCCTGGACACATGATTCATTATCATTATTTTACAATTAAATATAATATATATACACGTGTATATATATACACATATTTGTGTATAGTATACACAACGTAGAGGACAAGATGGCTTCATGACAATGAGCGAAAAAAGTTATTTGCACCAAAGAACGACTACTCATGAACCTAAGAGGTGCTGTTCAGCCAGCATGGGAGAGATCCTGGCAAAAAGAACCACAAGTTTTCGACCACAAGGAAAAGTGGAAAACGAAGAAACGACATTCCAGTTTTTTCTCATTTTTCCCTTTTTTGGGGGTATGGAGATTGGAGCAAGCCTTTGAAAAGAAATTGCTAAAGGAATGTTAGAGAAAAACCAGAGACTGAATTCTCAAATTCAACACGCAACAAAGATTGACTAGGGGTCAAGAGACATGGGACTAGTAATATTAAAGATGTTTCCTAAAAACCATGGCAAAATATTATCATCTTGTCCTCACTAACAAAAAATAACAAGTAACAACAATGTCAAAGCTTTGAACATTCACCTTGATGGATTCTTATGAAGAATTATTGACTTCAACATAATCATTTAACATCTTTTTGAAATAATAATAAAATGTTAATATTATAATGTCACTTCGAGTCCCTTTAAAACAGAAGCTGAAAAGACGCTCTGACGAACCTTCCAGTAGAATCCAACAGTAGTGACCGAATATTATCAGTATGCCCCCTGAGCTTCATGTTCTTAGAACCGGTTCTTGGGTCCCATACACGTACTACCTATTAGAATCAAATAATCATGGCGTGAAATTGAAGCATTCCAGAAGTCTTAAATGATTAAAACATTAAAAAATCTCGCTGACAACTCCTTTAGCATCAGAGATAGATCTGAACAATAAAAAAGTCAGCCACACAAGAATATACCTTCTCAGTTCCACCAGAGACGAGAAGAGTTCCCCGGTCATTCGTGGCCAATGCATAAACTGACTCTTTATGGCCTTTTGCAGATATAGGAGTGTATCCTCGAGATTGAGTAGCATGCAGAGAAATGTTATTACTTGAACCAATAGGCCGCATACTCGTATTAGTTAACGAAGATACCAAACCATTGACACTAGCTGCACCATCATCTTCAGCTGAATCATTTGACTTGGACAGGGGAGAAAGTGCAGCTTCAAGATCCCATATGAAAACTTCCCCACCTAGGCCACCAGAGGCAACAATATTGCTCTGTAATGCATGAATGTAAAAGGATCATAAACGGATAGCAGAAATATACATCACACCACCATGTACAACAGCTTATCAACTAAATACATGATCCAAATATCCATAAATTTTATAAATCCAGAAAACATTTGCAAGAGATATTACATTGTTTTCTGCTGCTGCAAGGCAAGTGACATAGTCAGAGTGCTGACGCAACGTTCTGGTACATGTTTCATCAGACAAGCAATTCCAGATCTGATAATACCAACAAAAAATAAATAGATTACTACATGAATAGAAGTTAGTATATATGAAGCATAGATAAGAAGAATGCACAAACCTTAACAGTGGTATCTGAGGAGCAAGAAACTAATGTGTCACCGCCAGTAAGAACAGCATCATTGACCTGTCCAGCACAAGCATTCTAATTCTAAGATAAATATGTAGATTATGCCTATCGTGCATTCAAAAGTAACAAAATTGTGAATCATATTAGCTTCAAACTTAAAAACAAAAAATAATCCAAATTTAGACATTAGAAGGATTCTTGGAACCATGTCAAAAAATAAAGCAGGTAACAATAAAGCCAAATTTTGGTATTTTAATGCTTCTTGGGGTGTCAGTCAGGAAGCCTAGTATGCTTGAATGATATTGAGTTCATGAGGCTACAGGACACGGTAATGAGTAAAATGTTGGGTATTCTAGAAGATCACTGATCATATATCTGCCAGGTCAAAATGGTGGAGGAGTTGAAAAACTGAGTTTATTACCGCCAAAAGGCAGTTGAGTAATAAGAATTGATTATGGAACCAACGATTAAACCTTCAAAATGAACACAAAAATACGTAGTAAACAGGAGACTTAAACAAAGAAGAGAATGACTGATACCCAATCAACATGGGACTCAAATGTAGCAGAGCAGGTAGCAACATCTTCACCCAAGGCCCATCTCTTTAACGTGCCATCACGACTCCCAGTAAAGAGATAATCAGACCCACCTGGTCTGGATGACTTCAACACAGCCAAGCAATTTATGCCAGCGCAGTGCTGCAAATAGAAGAACCACCCAACAGAAATGACATCAAGAATTGTCATCCATCCAGCATAACAGGTATAATATGTAAGCGATGACTGATTATAAGTACTTAGAGGTCTCTGTGAAATAAATTGCAAAAAAAATGGTGAGGGCACTTCTTGCATGCAAGATGCAGGGTTCAACATCTGTCAATATACAAGATTCCTTGTGACAACTTCCGAGACATGTAAACAAGGAATGTAAAGCTGAGTCAGGTATCAACATCACATCTGATCAACCACAATTCACATCACAAGCAAAAAATTTAAGTCACTGGGATTTCCAACATCACATTTCAGCTCTCTTGATAATGCACCTGTAGCCAGTCCCGTCCTTTTTACCAAATTCTCTTAGAACTTAAAAACAAGAAAATTTTCACAAATAATTAGCAATGTTAGCATTTTATATTAAGATGCGAGTATAGATAAGAAATCATAGATGCTAACCAAAGAACACAAGGACATTTTTCATCCTTGAGCCAATTAATTTTAAACAAAAATAATGCAATACTCTTATTGTTCATTTAATCAATGGTACAAATCTAGCACTCTCCAGTTAACAAAAAGAGAGCGATTAATAAAATTAGCCCTTCCTCAGGAGATTCAATATTCCCACCCCTTTATTATCCCAACATATGCACACAACAAAGTGAAACAAATGTTACGTGATCTACAGAAATGCTTCTGTATGCACATGCATCCCAGTAACAGAAGCAAATAATTAGCACGTTATTGAAAAATAGAGATCAAAAGAATTTTGCTCTTCCATTCATTGCTTTCCAATCAATTCGTTGATTACTGTAGAATAATGTCATATACAAGAATGGAGCCAATACCAGGTCCTGAAAGAAGATAGCCCGAGTACCAGGCAGCTTAGAGAAGAAAAGGGAAAAAAATGTATTAACATAATGAAAGAAAGAACGACAGTAGGACAATCATCTATATGAATGTTCTCAAGTGAATATTCTTTAACCAATGGGTGAGGCAGATTGAGGACTGAAAAGTTCTTTTTCCATTTCATTTTGTTTGTCTGTCTTCATTGTTTTAAGCAGGAAAGAGGGATTGGTCGTTGAGTTACAGACAATTATGGTATGCCAATGTGGCACAGCAGCATTTCATCAAAGCAAGCACTTCAATATTTAACCAAGTGAGTACACCATTGAGAACTAAAACAAAGCATCACCTTTGTGTCATCTGAATCATTCAACACATATGTGAACTTCTTTTCCTTGCGAGGACGAACTGAATTAGACGTGTTCCCTGCACTTCCCACACGGTGCATCGCAGAAATCCCTAAAGAGATAATAGAGCAAATAATAAATATATTTACTGTCTCTTGATATTGTTATTTGAAGATGGAAATACTGATACTGTCTTATTTAGGAAATGCAAAAAATCATGATTATTTTTAGAGCAGAAAAGTCGAGAAGACTGAGGATAGTAAATAAGTTGATATACAACATATTTCTGGACATGCTTTTATATGTCAGGCTAACATCAAAAAAGGCTGATGATGGGCCACATAGAGGCAAAAAGAACCAAGACGTCAACTTGTCAGGGATGCTAGGAAGTAAAGTCAAACAATCTTACCAATACATTCAAGCAATCGAGCAAGTAATTTGTATGTTGCATATTCATTGCAACGGAATCTGCTTCACTACACTGCACTGCTCTATCCTCTTAATTATTTTCCTTTCAAAGTCATAAACATGTGAATATATTGCAAAAAGATAATCTAATCAATGCCACAAGAAATTTCTATTTCTTGCAAAAGCACTCCGGAGGAGCAGACCCTCCAGCCCATGCATGTTTCAAATATCAGAGGACAACTTCACCCCGAATCAGTAGAATGTCCATAACCATAGATGCTTTGGAGCGTCCATTTAGGAATGCCATTAGCTCTATCCTCTTAATTATTTTCCTTTCAAAATCATAAACATAAGAAAATATAAGACTAAAAATAATCTACTCAATGAAACAAAAAATCTCTACTAGCAAGAGCACTCATCAGGAGCAGCCCACGCAGCCCCATGCATGTCACAAATATCAAAGGACAACTTCACCCCGAATCAGTAGAATGTCCATAACTATAGATGCTTTGGAGAGTCCATTTAGGGATGCCATATGGGAAACTGTTCCCAGCATGAGCATCCTTCTAATGGGAATGAATGCATATACATTGCCTTATTGCCCGCTATAGATAATGAACCAGAAATGAAGTAATTTCAAACTGTAACTTGGTGAAGAGGCATACTGACACACCCCCACCAGCGAGCAGATAATTCCTACATTCAATAAAAGTAATATACTGAACCAACAGCCTGAGGTCCATCCCGGGTCAGCTTGCACCATCCTCAATGAGGGAAGAAGATGCTTTCGAGCTCACCATAGACCCCAGAAAAAATAGAAAAAAGAGAAATACTATATTTATTTGAGCTTTAAGCAGTTAGAGTCGAATGTAATTTATCAATTGACTTTCTAATACAAATATAATTTTTCCGGTAAAACTACTATAAGCTTTCAATTATTTAGTCAAATTAAATATCCATTGATGGCCCTATGATCAAATCTACTTTGACAAACAATATCCAAATATATTTGTACAGCAAATCTTTTGCCAATACAAAGTCTGAACTCTTTACAAGACTTGAATAAAATTAATTTAGTATATGATTTGAAACTCTTGAAAGCTAATCTCCACATTAAGTAAAGAAAAGATCTACCAAAATATTTTCATAACAACAATATGATGTTATTTTACCTTTAAAATTTTACATTAACAAAGCTAATGTCTAACCTCACACCAGAAACCTAATATCAAGTAATGTGAACAACACTAACGTCAAATTGCATAAATTTCTTAATTCTAGAATGGACAAACTATTTAAATTTTCTAAAAGCAATTATACCACCTATTTACACTTCATCTTGATTGCAAATCCAGCACAGTCCATCTTCCAATTTCAAATTTTGATTGGCTTGTATCAGAGTTATTATCTGGCATGACTTTATAAGCCAAATATGTAGATATAACAAAGTTCTAGCATCAACTTCAAGATGAGGCAACAAAAAGAAAGGGGAATACTTCAGCAATCCAAATCAAAGAAATACGAAAGACTGCTATAAATTGTACCACCTGAAAGACATTTCCCAATGACATCCTATGGATACAGTTCCCGTGTATCCACTACAAACTGTTGCCTCCTTCAATGATTTGGATAATATGAAAATGCATTTAACTAACACCAAACATCAACTTTTGTAGATAGACTTTCTAAAATCATCCTTCAAGTCTGACTTACTTTTGTTTTTCTTCATCTTTATAGCCTAACCTTTAGTTTACTTCCACATGAGAATTTCTTACACCATCCTTCTGCTTATCAAAGATAAAGAAGAAGGGAAAGGGAAGGGAAGGGGGTTCTGCACTGAATTTCACACATAAAGAACCTCATCTACCTTAAATGGAAAGGCTTGTTGAAACATAGCAATCTCCAGTCTTAAAATTATTTCTCTGTACTTTTTTATAGTCAATAACATTGCCATTGAATACTGTGATTTCAAAGATTTTACATTCAATTATCATCCACTTTTGTTTTGTTATCGCCATATTATGCTATGTAAAAAGAAATGCAAAGGCTTACAGGGCTGTATGCTTCTATGTATAGTAAACAAAACCACTTATGATTCTTGTAGATGCTAATGCTGTAACAGTTACACGTATAACTCAGGAGCTCCATTACTCAAAAAAATCGAGGTTAGTGGGACAACTTTAGGAAAGATTTTATAACACCTGATTCAAATGGATTTCGCGGTGGGCAATGCATGGATTGTGTGTCCAATGAGCTTTATAATGATTAATGGCTTTTTAAGAAAGGATCAGATTCTAAAGGATTTTGGATCTCTTGGGAGCTGATAAAAGGTAATTTTCTTTTAGGCAAAACAAAAATGCAGGAAACTGATTACCGGCGAATGTAACTTAAATGGTATAGGAAGAAATAAAACAAAATCGAAGTGTGTTTTTTAGTGAAGGGTGATTGAAGGAGGTTCGTAAGAAAGTCAACAACTTCAATGATTCGAGTAAGTAAATACTTTATTTATAACCAATAGGGAGGAAGAAAAAGAAACAGAAGTGTGTAAAGAGTATCGGCAAGAAGGAAGAAAAAAAGGAAAGAAATCACTTCTATTTAGATTTTGGACCTGCATTTGAAAGTAGTTAATTTGAGCTAGAACTTTCTTAATTACCATATTTGACTACTGAAATTTTGCAGGTGAACAATACCTTACAAGTCAACCAGAAAGCAAAAGGGAAGAATAACTGCTAATCCCACCATATTAGAAATGAAATATAACATGGTTTCAAGCTTAATAATTATCCCCCTCATTCATCAACTTAAAAACATATATTAGTATCAAAAAATTGCATAAAAATTTAAAAAGAAATGAATAATTGAGATTATAAACAAGAAATATGAACAAAGTAATCACAAATACGATAAATACATGCATGTGCAACGTAATGGAATGTATATGTGAAAAACTCTATCCAAAGTCTCGACATCAAATGTACATTTTTTTTTAAAAAGTTTTTGAACTCAGAACGACAGAATCCAAACGCTCATTATGCAATAAATCATTTCCAATTATGCATGTGGCATCGCAACAGATAACTTTTTGACATTATTGAAAACAATTTCTTAGATATGAAACAAGATTTTATCTCAAATGAAGAAATTTTTACAATACCAGCAAGTGAAAGAGAAAAACCCCAAGCGACTGATTGCCAAGTACTCAAAATAAGTACAGAACATACTAAGCGCGTTCAATTATAGTATCTTACAACTTCAAACGAGACTGAAGAAAAAAATTGGACCCAAAAAAAGATTCGCTTTATTTCGAAGTCAACAAAATAAAAATTGATAAGTTCCGCCAAAACATAATCCTTCAACAAATTGACTGGTGAGTGCATCTGCAAACTCGTGTATTTAATTCTTTCCAAAATTTACATCATAATAAAAGGGATAAAAGGATCTCAAGGAAGTATGATCGCTGTCAGTGTGCGTAACAAAAAGTACGTGGAATAGAAAATATAAATAAAAACTAAAGGAAATGGATAAGAGAATCACCTTCTCTGGACACCTCAAAACTGAATTCCCGGCAATATGACTAGTCTGTGAGTGAGATGCGGCGGGCCGCACAAGGGAGAGAAAAGAGACAGTAGGACGAATAGGTGTTTTCGAAGGGAGAATCGGGGCGGCAATTTAGCCGTTTGGGGGAGAAGTGACGGTGGTGAAGTGGCGGAGGAAAGGCGGACGAGGGGTATTGACGGAGGTGGGAGGGAGGTTGAATCAATTGGGAATGATGTTGGTCATTGAATAATGATTTTTTTTTTTTAACTCCTGATGTGTAAATGTCTAGGACATGTTTGATAACCCCTTATTTTTCATGGTAGTTGGAATTGAAATTCAATTTTCTACTTTTGTCATGTTTAATGACACTTTTTTTTTTTTCTGGAATTGGTTTTTCACATTTGTTAGTTTTTATTTTATTTTATTTTATTTTAGTTGAATTGAAATTTCCACATTTTAGGTGGGAATTGAAATTTCATCTTTTTTTTGTCAATAGAAACAAATTTAATGTAAAACAAAGCCAAACGAACATAAAAAATTTTCCTTTTTTTTTTTTTGCAATCCAAACAAATGATATCCCCAATGGTAAGAAATTATATCCCTTTAATTTACAATTTTTATAAAATAATAATAATAATAATAAGTCAAATGAACACCAAAAGATAGAAAATTTCAACATTTTGCAGGTGGAAAATTATATCAATCAAATACAATTAATTGAAAATAAATTCTAGACAATTCAATTCACTGCAATTCGTTTTCTTTCCACCCAAATTCCATCTTTAAATCAAATGTCCCGAGGGTTTTTTTAATTTTACTTTAGAGTGCTCAAACTTTTACGCTTTTAACAGCCTCATTACTTAAAATTCATTTTCTTTAAATTTATTTTTATCAACTTTTCAATTTTAAATTTATTTTTCAGGGTCAAGAATTTTGACATATTTTCATATGAAACATTTTGTAATATTTAGACATTTTGAAGCATTTTTAACAAAAGATGAATTCTTCGGTTTCAAAGTGTTCTATAAAAAATAATTTATCATCTTAACAACCAATTGTTGTTACAATGAAAATTGAGTTGTGTTGAGTTGAATTGAGTTTAGTTTAATTTAGTTAAAAAACAATAAGGAAAAGAATGGTAATTTTTAAGGATTAAGGGGGTGTTTGTTTTTTATTCTCAAATTCTACAGTAAATCAATTCTCATTTTCAACCACACATTTTTCAATAAAATAACATTTTTTATTGCATCAATAATTTTTTTTTCTTTTTCAACCACTCATTTCTCATCATATCACTATTCAAAAATCAATTCTTCCCAAAAAAATCCCTACCAAACACACTCTTAAGCTAAAAAGAATTTCATAAAAACGGCATAATCAGTTATGATCAAACTTGAATATTGTTATTTGATCCAATATAGTATTGATCAACAGTCTTGAGCCAGCTCACATACACTGCCATTGTTCATCACAAAATTATTTCTCCATATAAAGTTCTCAAAATAGCATACAATTCCTTAAAGATATCAAAAGGTAGAATTTCTCCTTACCAAATTCTCGATTCATGCCAAAATTAGAAGGGAAACAAAAATTTGTTTACATCAAACAATTAAAACTAACCCAATATTTTTGCTGCCAAGAGATACCCAATAAGAAAGAAATAGCAGATTAATCAGGAAGTTAACTGAACTTTAAAATTCCGAGTTTTTTCAAATTCAGAGCAATTAAACAAAAAACCCACAAAACATAAACCATATACTCTAAAAAATTCAATCATTTTCAACTGGGTACACATACCCACCCCAAAAAACTTCCCTATTCCACTTTGATCTCAGAGAGTGGCTTTGAAGAAAGGCAAAAGAAGACCCCAAACATAAAAAAAGCACAAAATAATATCTAAACATATAAAAATTAAGTACATACATGCAAAGTGAACCAGATGGCCTTCTCGATGAGTTCTTGGACGTAATTCTCATCGTAATGGCGGTGGTCGACATCAGAGACCTGACGAAGGAGGGAAATGGCTTGGTCTTGCTCATGGCCTCCATCTGAATGTTTCATTGAAGCATCTAAACAGCATGGGAGTAGAGAGTTGAAATTTTTTGCAGTGAATGGTTTGGGAGTTTTTTTGGAATCAAGGGTTTTCATTTGGGGCTGTGAGGTTTTGAATGTATTTAATACGTGATTAAATGTTTTAATTAGTTTTAAGAGTACTATTCAAAATTCTCATTTTTAGAGGGTATTGTGCCTAATTTCCCCTTTTTAAAATTTAATGGGATTTAAATTGTGTTGTAATTGCAAAAAATGTATATTAAATGAGAGATGGGAGATTGTGTGAGAAGTATAGAAGATAAATAAGTATTTATAGCTTAAAAATATAATCTTTAAAGATAAAAAATCATATATTAGAATTTAGAATAGATTTTGACGGGGATTTTGACAGCCGAGAATAGGTCCTCTTGCCCTACCTTCCCACAGACTTACTAAACCACCACCAACGACAAGAGAAAGAGATTTCGGAGAAAATGCCAACTTAGCAATATTATTGTTGGATATTACGGAGCCTACTGGAGCAATAGAATTCCCCTCAACTGTGCAAAACATAATATTCCACACGTGTATTAGAACCATAACATTTCTAGCATATATGATGGATTTTACGATGGTGGGGGTAGGGGTTGGTTCAAACAAGACTCGGAGGCGTATGAAAACCCATGTAATCTCCTTGTTCATAATAGTGAAAATTTTGCCGCAACAAGTGGGACGTATCTATCGTGTTGAGGATCAAACATTATAAATCTGCGTTTGATTTGTGTGTTCCTGATTTTGGTAACTTATCGAATTTGTTATCATTGTTCCTCTACACGTAAAAAGGAATACACTGAAATATTTCCTTTTGAACTTAATTTGCAATCACTTCACAGAATCATTTGTTCTTGTGAAGCTAGGACTAGATTATTAGTAATTTCATTTGTCCTAGAAGTATTGTGAAATATCCTACGGCCATCCCTTCTTATTGCATTTCATGCCTGTCGCAGAAATTGGTCGATGTTCAAGAGTTTTTAAGAATTCCACAAATGGAGTTTAACTAGTTGGCAGGTTAAAATACACAAAAGATCATTGTTAGATCACATCAAGAACTGGGGCGATGTGAACAAGGCAAATGTAAATTTATTTTTAATATTTATATTTAGAAAAAAAGATATTCATTTTTTTTAGCACAGGGCAGCCCTCCCTCCCTCCGCCTCTTTCATTATGGGCGGTTTCTTGTTGAGTTTCGTAACTATGGCATGTAGATTGTTAAAAATCTAGTTGATTTTAGATATTTTAAGTACATCTATCACTGAATTGAAAGAAATGGACAAAATTCATATAGCCAACTCCAAACCTTCTGATCATTTATCTAGCATTGCTTTGAGGTACTAATTATTCTTACGAAAAGAGTGATCATCATTTATTTTGATCTATGAATTCTTTTTCAAGGTATTCCTGATATGTTGGCAGAGAAAAATGGGTACTCATCTAGCTTTATCTTTGCTCGAAATGGTGCAGTCTTCTCTGATCTTGACTTATTAATGCAGGATGTTTCGTAAGTTGCACGAGAGCTGCTAATATGTATAGGAGATTTAGCTAGGATTTATATAGGGGAACACTTGTCAATTTTTCATTGGCAGTTGGTAAAAAAAAAACTGCCAGTCAAGTGCCGCCATGTACACTGTCTAGGTATGGGTGTGGTTCGGATAGAGTTGGGTTGGTTTTGAGTTCCAACTTGAAACCGAAATCAACTTGGTCAGTTTAGGTAAATTCCAACTTAAACTGACTCAATCTAGTTGTTGACATCAAATAGGTTTGGATCATCTCGGTTTGGTCAGTTGGTTTGAACATTTGTTTGAGTTAAAAAACTTTGCCTACCTATTTTGGGTTTAAAAAAAGTCTTTGCCTATATAATTTTTTTTTTTTTTTTACCTGCGTAGTGTGTAATTTATAATATATATAATGTAAATGGTAAAATGGTTGATTTTTCAAAAATCATCCTATATAGCCTATAGTTACAAATAAGCAATTACGTCAAAATGAAAAGTAATGTCACAATCTAAATTTAGAGTTTACAATAAACAATCTTTTTCTTTTCTTTTGAAATTTGGAGTTTTAGTAGAAAAAGTGTAGACGATAAACAAATTATTTGAGAAGGAATTATAGTTATGTTTTTATTTTCTTTTGAAATTTGGAGTTTTGGTAAAAAAAAAAAAATGTAGAAAGTAAACAAATTATCTGAGAAAAAAAATTATATTTATGTTTTTATTATTTTTATTTTTAAGTTTAAAATGTGAATTTTAAAATGAAAAAAATAAAATAAAATGTATCAACTAGTTTGATCAGTTAATTGACGGGTTTGTTGCTTAAATCGTAACCAACTCAATCCGACCTTTTAATGGTTAGAATTAATCGAATCAAACCTACACAAACTGAGATTTGGTTTGTTCGATTTGTTTGCCCCAACACTGCCTTTCAAAAATCACATATGCATGGGGAAATAACTGAACTTGCGTCGGTAAGAGGGTATCTCACAAGTTAGCTTAGCTAGTAGCTATGCCTAAGGGAATTCAAAAGTCAAGCCTAAGTCCAGGTTGTTTCCATATTGGATCTCAGTGTTTGAGGCCCATGCTAAGCTATGACTTGACCAAGGATTTATGTTAAGAAATTTACACAAATAGCACCGATCTGACGTAAAACTTAATTGGAAGGAGTCTTTTAGGAACTTTCATCTTTGCTCGAATTTTTTTATGACTAGCATTTTCTGGAGATGGAAGAATTTTCACTCTCTAGTCTATACCCTAATCACGATATATAGGGGGGTGTTTGGTGGGGATTAAATTAGATTTAGTAGATTTTGATAGAAGTTTTTGAAATGTGTGGTTGAAAAACTGTAGGACCCATGAAAGATGTAGTTAATATTAATTGTTTGATTTTAATTAAATTAAAATCTGATTTTAATTTGTACCCAACAAGCTCATAATAAAAAAATGACACAAAAAATAAAAAATAAAAATCTTGAAAAAGGGCATCAAATGTACAAAGAAGCCAGCTATATTAAACTATTAAAGATGGAAAGTGTCTTTAATGGACTGGAAACACAGATTTCTATGTCAATTGTCACCCGCAGAATAATAAAACTAAGTAAAATTTAGTTATCACATAACATGAAATAACGTGAATGGTGGGCTCCAAAGAATATTTGTCCCTAATACGTCCATTAAAAAATGTCACATTAAGTTTTGTATTGTATTAGTACATCCATGCATGCAGTGAATATTGTTGAAATGTCGAGGCCTAGGCTAGCCCGCAGCTTTCTCATTATTTTGATTTTTTTCTTTTTCCATTCAAGCATCTTATTTTGAGCCCGATTTGGTATAGATTTTCTGAAAATAGATTTTGTAAAAGTATTTTTTTTTAAGAACGAATAGTTAAAAAGTATGAAAAATTTATGGGTCCACGTATGAAATTAATATATTGAAACAATTTGCGGTCGAAAATGAGTTTAATGAAAAGCGAGTTTTCAAAAATGAAAGCCAAACATGGTCTAAACTTGATGTCATTTTTTTTTTGGGACAAAGTTTGAAAGATGCCATTTATGGCAACAAGGTGACTATTGAATTGAGGGTTCTTGACCCTTTGATGTAATCCCACTTGAGGATATGTTGAAAAGGTTAAACTCACTTTGAACTTTGAAATATTCTCTCTTTCTCTGATATCTGCACTCTATTCATCTCCTACGTTTCTTCTACTTTTGAGTAAGTTCTTGAGAGATTTCTTCATATCCATGCGGTAATTAAACATTTGATATGAGGTTTTGGTTGTGCTAGAGTACTTGAGTATTATCCTTTAATGGATGCTTCATGGAGAGTAGGTCTTTTGACCAAACTTCAGGCCATTGAACAAAACAAGTAATTGTGTTCGTATTGCTTTAATTTTTCTAATATTCGTGTTGGTTGAGAACATATATGGGACGAACAAAAACAATTTGCACGGACATTTATGAATTTGTATTCGCGTATATGTTTAACCATTACATCTAAGAACATAATATTTATGTTAAAAGAACACACATTTATTTATTTATGTTTTGTTTTCAATACGACCCTTTATGACCAAGTTGAATTTTGTTTTCAAAAAATGCATTACATAACATATGTACAACTTTATATAAATGGACAATACATATTTATAACAAAAGAAAACCCTAGGTAGTAGGTACATTTATAGACTAGACATTCCAGTGCAGACGCCACTTGAGAGAATCTCCTACCAGCGAGGACTTCCCCTTCTATAAATACCTAAGAATCCCATAAGTACAAGCATCCCTCAGTATTACATAGCTATTTATATTTCTTGTCCTTTCCAATTTATCTCTCCCTTGTTCATATTCTTATGGCTCGTTCAAAATTAATCTTTTTTTCCCTTGTTCTTATCATGATTTTCTTCCTGAAAATTCGATCCATCGAGGGAAGAAATTTGAATTTGAAGGACAAAAGTGATTTAAATGCTTACTTCTCAACAAAGATCGTGAAAACAAATGTGGCTGCAATTATGTTGCCACCGCCACCACCCGTTCTAGTTGCATTTGACTCCCGACCACCTCCACCACGCTACGTGGATGATTTCAGGCCCACATCACCAGGTCACAGCCCCGGGATTGGACACGATCTTCACACGTAAATAGGGTTAGAGCTTAGGTGTTCACAGTTCACTGTTCTCAATAACCGACTATTATATGCACTATGCCAAGTATTTATGTATTGATTATTTCCCTTGCATTGTACTGATTACATATATGATTAGCATTCAATTTGTATGCTAAGTATGTATGCGTTGATATATTTCCTTTTGTATTCCAATTATTAAATGAATTATGTCGTTCATAGCCAGAGGTTAAAATGTCGTTCTATGTGGTAGCTTGTTATTTGAGGAATTGATTTCCATAATTCTTTTGCCTCAAATAATAAATCAATGTTTCAATAACAATCTGCCACATAAGGATGACTATTGCAGTCGCTAATGAT